GTCGTGGGGCTTGAACTCTGGGCTTGGGCACTGTCCCTGCACTCTTCAGCTCAAGGCACTCAAGGCGTGTGCTCTACCGCTTGAGCCACAGCGCCACTTCTGGTTTTTGATTGGTTTATTGGAGATAAGAGTCTCACAGACTTTCTTGCCCAGCTGGCTTTGAACTGTGATCCTCAGATCTCAGCCTCCTGAGTAGCTAGGATTACAGGCATGAGCTACCAGTGCCCAGCTTAGAGCGCTAATCTTGACCTGAAAAGCTGAGGGACAGCACCCAGGCTGAGTTCAGGCCCCACCACTGTCAAAAAAAAAAAAAAAAAACAACTTACAACATAACAGTGCTAAGTATCTAAAGAATACCAAATATCATTGCCACTTACTAACATATCAGATAATGCTCAGATACATGAAGCAAATAAAAATAGTTCTATGTGTATCAGTGCAGCCAGTAGATACCTTCACAAAAACAGCATTGAGCCTCATAGCAGATGGGTTTAGGATGATCAACTCGAGGAGGACATCCAATGCGGCGTCCACTTCAGCTTCATTCCCGCTGCAGATGTGGGTCACTAGGGCACCCACCACTTCCTACAGAAGCAAAACTTAGCAGGATTATTCTGACAGGGTTAATGTCTTTAAAACATAGCTCCCTGATCTTATCAATTACCTGCACTTCATTATAAGCTTGGCTTTAGGAGGCCTGTAATTGCACCAATATAACTACACTACCACTCAGTCTCTATGTTCTCCTTATAACTTATTAGTAACTAATTAGTAAGCTCCATCTAAGCCCTCCTTGTTTTGTTCCTTGACATGGTCTTCCTCTCATTTTTCCAAATGGGCTAAATTGTACTGTAGGCTTTGACTGCACTAAATCTTTTGGTTTCTTGAAAAGACTGCACTAGTTTCATAGGTTTTCTATAAATAGTACAGGTTAGACCTCCATGTTTCCAAGAAACACTGGTGGGATAGTGTCTCTAAGACATTAAGAGGAGCCAAAATGTCTCAAGTGCCATTAGCTCTTCCTTGATTCTGCTATTCCACAACAGGGGCACACAGTTTTCTCAACATAGGTTGTGTTTCTTCAATGTTCTTCCTTTCAGCTTTTAAAAACTTTTACAGAGGACAGGTTTGGGTAACCCATGCCTGTAATCCTAGTTACTCGGGAAGCTGAGATCTGAGGATTATGGTTCAAAGGCAATCTGGGCAGGAAAATCATGAGACCACCAAAAAGCTGGAAGTAGAGCTGTAGGTCAAGTGGTAGGAAGCTAGCCTTGAGCATCAAAGCTCAGAGACTATGCCAAACCCCTGAATTCAAGGTTTAGGGCTGGCACCAAAAAGAAAAAACAACTTTAAAGGGGACCAGCAATGGTAGGTATATTCCTTGTCTTACATGTGCAAGCCCCTAGATTCAATTCCTAGCAACTTAAGAAAATTATTTGCAGGCTAGGAAGGTGGCTCAGTGGTAGAGCGCTTGCCTTGCATGCATGAGGCCCTGGGTTCGATTCCTCAGCACCACATAAGCAAAAAGAAAAAAGCCGGAAGTG